GGGAGGGGGGATGGCGCTCGCCGCTGTCCCCGCCGTCCTTCTCCTCGGCCGCCGGCCCTTCCGGGCGCTGCTCGTCGTCGCCGCTTTCCCAGGAGGGGACGGAGGGCGAGTCCGTCTCCGAAAAGCAGCCGGTGCTGTTGTGCGCCGTGTCCTGCTCGGGGCGGCTTGCGGGTACCCCCTCGCCGCTAAAAAAAAGCTAAAAATTCTCTTAAGTTAGCAGTGCTCCTTCTCCTCCCGCTGAAAGGGGAAGGAAACACGACTTGTAGTAAGTACTTTGCTGCTTCGCTTGTGCTGCGAAGTCAAGTCCAGAGAGTCACATCGTGGAAAAGTCGGGTTACTTTTCCATGTCAGATGCAATGCTGGTAGTAATGCCCTGGCAGACTTGTTGGTTTCCTCCCCAGTCCTTCAGCGAAGAGTAGTAAATTTGCTTTCCCCCCTGGCTATTGGTGATATAACTCATGTTTTCTGTCATTTGGAGTGCTGTTGTTCTCTGGCACCTGCTGATACTGCATCTAAGCAGCTGATTTTATTGTTGTTTATTGAGTCTGACATCTTGCAGATAATATTGGCTTGAATATCGGGAAAAGAAGGTGATTAATCATGTGATACTTTTTCCACAGGGGCTTACACAACTGATGCTGTATTTTGTTCCACATGTCTAAACAGAGAAACATTGTGAAAGCTAGAGTTTTCAAAAATGAACAGATATGATTTTCTACCTTTGGTAGCTAGGTGTTCCCTGTCAGTAGGGAAACAGTGCCAAAGTGAGATAACTTTAAAATTAAACTAACATTTAAGTCACTTCAAGTGCTGACACTGTTCTTAAATGTGCTAAGTATGAAGCGTGTATTCTTTTTGTTGTAGATCTGCAGATTAAAACCACAAAGTATTTTCAAGCCCTAAGATGCCACAGCTCTTTGAATTCTGAAAGCAGTGTTAATTTTTTTTTTTTGATACTGCTTGTGATTCTGTTTCTTCATCTTTTATTTCCACTTCCTGTCTAAATCTGTAGCTTGTTTAACTTACTAGGAAACTTGTTTGCATCGTTAACCGTGATCAGAAATAACTATTCTGTTTATAACAAGGTGCACTAAAATTGTGGTGTCTTAAAACGCTGCAGTTCTTAATAGCTGCTTTGAGTGGATGTTTCCCAGTGCTTCAAAAAACAAGCTCAAAGGCTCCTGTGTGGTGAGAATTTACAACCTTTCAAACTGTTCTCAGCCAGGCTAGTTGCAGAATGGATGGCCACTCCTGAGAAATTTTATGTATTGTGTGTATGCAGAATAATTTAGTGTCTTAAAAGCTGTGAACAATCATAATAGGAGCACTGTGACAATACTTCTATTGTACAAGAAGGGTTTTTTAAAACCAAGATTCCTGTATTTTCCATGTATGATGCTATATTGATTATTTCCCTGACTGCCTTTTACAGAGCCACACACCATGTCTTCTGTCACTTCATCAAAAGAAGATACAATGTCATCTGAAAAAGCAGATGAGAAACCACCTGAAACTGAAAACAAAGCCGAGGAAAGCGATGAAGATGAAGAAGAGGAAGAGGAGGAAGAAAAGGGTACTTGTTTTTCCACTGAAAAAGTTGTCCTTTAAAAAATGCCAAGCTTACTGAACTCTGTCTCCTGTGATCTGGGCTAATGGCACAGTTATTGTTTAGGAGATTCCATGGTATATTTATTTCAGGGGTCATAAATTGCTCCCCAGTAGGCTACAACAGGCAGCACCAGAACCAGCAGTGCTGATGTTCTTCAGGAAAGCCTGAAGGAGTTGCTGCCATCCTGGATTCCTGCGCCGGGGTAGTGGCTGTTGTATAAACTTTGAGATGGTTTCAAGAGGTAGTGTTCTTTAATTATTTGTGTAAAAATGCATACCCAAGAAAGAATTCTTTTTTGCCAGTAACACTGAAGTGATCCATGTTTGGTTTGCTCTTTCAAAGATGCAGTGTTGTATTGCCTGTCATTACAGTTGCTCTTGTAATGAAAAATCATGTGTTTAAGGAAGCTGTCTTTTGCAGAAAAGAGTCTCATTGTTGAAGGAAAAAGGGAGAAAAAGAAGGTAGATCGACTGACCATGCAAGTGTCCTCCTTACAAAAGGAACCTTTTACAATTACACCAGGTGAGCTTGTCCTCTCATGGAAGAATTTTGAGTGTTGGGAATGATAATGAAACTTCTTGAAACACCAGATTATTAATGTTTTTGTAGATAAGACCTAACTTGAGTGTCAAGATCCATTTTAAAATAGTACAGCTATTATATGAAACCCCTCATTTATTCTGTAACATCAATTCAAACTGTAGAAGTTATATCATATTTAAACTTACTTGGAATAGGATCTTCGGTACTTAGCCACCACTGACAAAGGCAGGAGCAGCTAGAATAAAATTAAATGCCAAGTCCTTGTTCCCTGATCTTGGTGATACCAAGTGAGATGGAGACTGTCAGGATGCCCAGCTGATGGGAAAAGACCTGCTTAATGTTAGGCCTAATATAATAGTCTGATGCTATTCTGAAATAGTTCTTTGCTTTTCTTAAAAAAACAACATTATAAATGCAAATGCAATGAATAACATTACTGATTTTAACTGTTTCAGGAAAAGGACAAAAACTCTGTGAGATTGAAAGGATACAATTCTTTCTGAGTAAAAAGAAGACAGATGAACTTAGGAACCTGCACAAACTCCTCTACAACAGGCCAGGCACTGTAAGAACTTAAAATCAATCCTATATTTCCACTAGTTCTCACGCCTAGTAAAAACTTTTGTAGTATGGATTTTTACATTTGCATTTGTAAATCTACTTAAATGTCATTTATTGCAAACTAAATAGAAAATTAATATTACAGGACCTGTTAAGCAAGCCCCTAGTTTTTCTAACTCCTGTAAACTACTCTTCCTCTAAAGCCCCTACCAAAAGGTGGACTGAACTCTTAAGTCTGCTTGAATATAGATTTTAAAAAAAAATAATAGGGGGAGAGGTGGTTTACCTCATAAAGACTAGCTGGAAGTAATTTGTAGTTCACATGATAAAAGCTGCTGACATACAGATTGTAGTCAAAGTACTCCATGTAGTTTTGTTCAACAGAGATTTTTCTCAGTACTTCTATTTCTTTTATGTTTGAAACCTGTTAGTGGGTTTTAATACATTGCTACTAACTTCTCCATTAGTTTGCACAAAGCGGTAGAAAGTAAAACTTCATTCTACGTTAAATCTTAATACTGTTTTTTGTCACATTTATCTAAGGCAATTAAAATACTTAAGACTGATATGCTTGCTTTTGTAGTGAAGAATTAAAGAAAATGGCAAATATTTCTTGGAACTCTTTATGTATCAATGGTTGTGCCTTAAATGTCAATGGGAATATGACCCATTTTACTTGCTATTAGAGATAAAATGGATGTGGAGAAACTAAGGTTGGTTAAACTTTACTATTTCAATACACTTAACATATTTACAGAAATTTGGGGGTGTTCCCTTTATGTATTTTGAGAACTTGAAGAGCTATCCCAGAAACCAGGAACTGAAGTGTACTGGTACAGATGTGCACTGGCTGTCACAGCTCAGGTCACTGCCAAGCAATGCTTGTTTAAATGGCAAAGAAAGCTCTGCACCTTTACCTCAGAGTCCATTTTTCCCACTTTAGGCTGAAGACCTGGGATATGACTGATTTGACTATTGTTCATTGATTATGCAGCACTACTAAGAAACTAGCAGCTCAATGATACTGTTATAAATAATTGATTTTGTAATCAATAATAAATAATCTAATCAACTAACAGATGCACAACTGTGCAATTTCATCATTATGTGCAAATGATATAATGGTAAATTTGGTAAATTGGTACTTAACACTCCTAAATCATACTAACTAGACACAACTGCTGTAGAAATGCAGCTCTTGCCCTTCCCTCCCACAGCACTTACTTGGTTGCAATTCCACCCCCCTTTGCTTTGCTCTCCTGCATTTAGAAGGTCCAGCTGGACCTCTGCACTGTTCCAGTGGTTTGAGTCCAAAGAGATGAGAATATAATTGCTTGGAAATAATGCAAAATTGTATTTAATCAGAATTATAGGGAACTCAGAATGCTGTTTCATATAGTGGAGATCAGATGTTGTCTTGTATGCACATTCTGTGTGTGCTTTGGATATTTAACATTTTTAATAAAACATACCAATACCATCTGCCAGTTTTCTCTAGGAGCTGAACAAAGGTAATTCTCTTTGGAGAAGGAGCTTTGGTAAATTTATAAACTAATGGAGAAACACCAGGAACAAAACCTGTAGAACTATTGCAAGTGAGTTGAAATTACTCAATAGTAGTAAAAGATCTCAGAAGAATGAAAGATTTGGGGATGTTTAACTTCTTTTTCGTAAAAGGAGATGGAGTTTAAAAAACAAACAAACAAACAAACAAAACAAAAAAAAAAACTTTTTTCTTTCCTAGTCAGTTGCAAGGAAGTTCATCCCTGTTCAGACAGCAGTTATAATGATAGAAGTTGTTCATTGAGTGGTATGTAAATGCAAAAATTGGTCGTGCTAAAGAAAAGATTCAAAAGTGCAACCGTGGTCCTATGTAAGACTTCAGAAAAGTAAAACAAAGATGCTTTGGTGGATTATATAGTGAAAATAAAATTCACTATTCTGTAACAAATTACATGGTACAAAGCATGCAGCAGGCTGCATGTGCTCACAGTTGTGCAAACCTGTGAATAATCATTCAGTATGTTCTAAACAAGCTTGAAATGGCAGGTGATTTTTTTTCTTTCCTAGTCAGTTGTTAAAAGCAACTAAAATTACCAAGGTCAGAAGAACTTAACTGTTGTAGTTTGGCTGTGATGAGATAAAGGCAGGCATAATCCGTGTAGGTTATAACTTAAGGGTTGTAACTTTTTGTCAACAGAAAAGTTACCAAATGTAGTTGGATGGAATCTTTGAAAGTGCTTGCAATGGAAAGTAATCTGTGTGTTCTGCTCTAGGTTGCTTCCCTGAAGAAGAATGTGGGTCAGTTCAGCGGGTTCCCGTTTGAAAAAGGAAGTGACCAATACAAAAAGAAGGAAGAAATGTTAAAAAAGTAATGATCTCAGTTGCTACTTAACATAGCTTGGCTCATGCTCTACTCAAAATTTTACTTAGGGTTAAATGTAAACTTTAAGCTGAGTGGCTGTTTCCTCTGTGTTCTATTCCTGAGCTCACTTTAATCACACAAACTGGCCTTTTAAGACAACTTGCAAAGGATTTAAATTGTGAACATTTTATTTGGAATTTCTACAGTCCTGGCTTGAACTATTGCACACTAAAGACCAGATTCTTCTGCCAAGTGAGAGGGGAACTATTTCCCCAGGGCAAGTAGCGTGTTGTGAATACATGGTGCTCTGTTCATGGTGCAAACTTGCATCCTTCTATGCCTCAAACCTTCCTCCTTAGAATCAAAGCCATTTCTGCTTATTGTGCATCCAACATGCAGTCTTATTCCTAGAATTGCTGTAGTGACTAGACTAAGATATTTTTTCTTTTTTTTTTTTTACTGTCTCCCCCATGAGCTGCTTCTCTATTAACAGGAGAAACAGCTTGGTTTTGACTGGACTTGAAAAGGTTTAAAAATGCCCTTGCAAATTTATGCAGGTAGTTTTAACAAATGAAAGAACTAGTAACTTCTACACAGTTTATTCTAAATCTTTTTTCTTTCGGTGCCAGTTTGTTCCAGAATTTGGAATTTGCAGGTTTTCCTCAGTCAGTTTCCTAGGAGTGGGGTTTGTCAAATACATGTGAATTTAGCAGACAAACTCTGGATCAGGATTAGAGTTTCAACTGTTTTGCACTGATTTAGTTGCAGAATGTTTTTTTCCCCTTACCTGCAAAAGTCACAAAATAAAGGTTTTTTTTCACTTTTTTTTTCATATATTCCATCTGAAAGAACTGCTAGTTCAGTTTTGTTGTCTTTAGCAAGTGTTCTGAAAAGTGATTGCATTGTCACTCATATCAGGGTTCTGAGCCTGGTGTGCTTGTGTTACTGTGGTAAGTTCTGCTGCTGTTCATAGCTATGGCTGAAAGACTGCTGATTAGATTATTAATTTATTCTGACTCCATAGCTGATTTCTGCCCACACTGTACACTTGCACCTCATCATGTTTTAACAGCATTAAACAAAATGAACAAAGGACAAGATTTCTTTTACAAAATATTACTGATCAGCTTGCAAACTAAAAAGAATGAGTGTTGAGGTTGCCACATGGATTAGAGTTCTTGAATTAAGTTAAAACTACTTGCTGTGGAACTTGCTGACTAAAAACTTGGGTGCATTCATTTATTCCACACTGGAACTGCATTTTAGTACTTGGTACGTTGTGCTTGCTGTTATCTGCAGATGTACCTTCAAAGCATGAGAAATTTGAAAGGATTTGGTAGGTGATATTTATTCTTTTTATATATTAGTTCTAAGTTAAAATACAAGGACAAATGCCATGTGTAACACAAGTCATAAGGATTTTTAGTTAAAGCAGCAATAGAACCATAAAATCCTAAATTCAGTATACAAGGTCTTGAAAGTCTGAAGAAGAAACTTTGATGCTATACAGTTTTTAAATCTGTTAACAAGTCAAGTGGGTTTAACTGCAGTATTATTGTCTTTTACCATGCAAGAGATTGACTTTTGATTTGGGAGGAATACATTTCAAATATTCAGTAACCCCAAAAGCTAAACAGGAAGGCTCTCTGAATGCTAAGATTGCACAAATGTTTTTTTTTCTAACCTTGTCTTGAAAAACAACTGAAAGATTTTTACTTCATCATTGGAAGGAGAGGAACTACTTGGAGGCAGGGAGATGTGCCAAGCCAGTTAAGATTTCCTGTTCCCATGCCCTAAAACATGGGAGAGTAAAGTTATTCTGCCCCCTTAAAAGTCTGTGAGTTTAAAGGGACAGGCTGAAAGTAAATGCTACTTCAGAGAATTTGTAGGCTACCATGAAATAGTTGTACTGACTTTTTAAATAAACAATGAAAAATTTTTGACTACTAGAAGTAGCTATTAATCTTCTGAAAAGGTGTCAATGAAATCCACTTTTAAAAGACATTGTACAAAATCTGTGCAGAGGAAAGCATAAGCATTTGAAGGGAGGTAACAGAATAAGTAGGAATCTCTTTTGGCTTTTTAAATCTCATTAAGCTTGCATCCTGATGTCATAGCCACAAAGATTTGACTCTCCACTTTTTTCAATACTGATGGCACAAATGATGAAGTGGGACAACTGGTCCAAGATCTTTTTGGAGTAAAGGGGGTGGATGTCAGAGTTTCTCTTCACCTTCTATCTTCATCAGATGTACTTCTGTGAAGGGGTAAGGAAACAGAGAAAACAAAGGGAGACCTCCTGCCCCCTTAGAGTTCAAGTCTTGTATCCACTGGATTTATCTTCCAAGATTGAGTCTTTCCTATGTGGTAGATAAGGAGAGATTCTGGGGTAGATTTTTTTTTTTTGTAAGATTTTATAACTTTTGTATATCCTACTTCACACATGTAGATTTGAGAACCTTGTTTTATTTTGCTTTATGTAATGCAGTTCTTTGCTTAACTGTAGGTAAGCCTGGAAGTGCAGTTTGGAGTATGTATTCATGTCTGTTGTCAGGTTGCAGACACAGACCAGGTAGCAGCTTCTAGAAGTTAAGTGTTGACTGATTATTTAGGATGTGACATTGAATCTTTTCTTTCTTTTTCTTCTGTTTCTCCTCCAGATTTAGAAATGCAATGTTGAAAAATATCTGTGAAGTTCTGGACTTGGAAAGATCAGGAGTTAATAGTGAGCTGGTAACCCGAATCTTAAACTTCTTAATGCACCCCAAATCTTCAGGCAAGGTGAGATGCAGGTTGTTACACTTGCTTTTCTACCTCTCTTCTGATGAAAAATGCAGCTGTCTCTATTGCTTATCATTTGCTTTACCACTGGTGACACAATTACTGTTCTAATTGACTGAAGTAGCAGTGGCTTCTTGAAAGAGAGTAGCTCTGCTCCTGCAGGCCTCCATAATGGGGTGAGGAGTTGGAAGCTCTGTGCTTGCATATAAACACACATGTTACATAGGGTTAGTGCACAGAAGTGTGTGTGGTCAGCACATGAAGCTAGAGATATCTGTGCCCAAGTACCATAAGTAGCTTCTGCTTTGTGGGTGAATGGAGGGGAAGAGGCATACGACCAGGAAAGAAAGTAGTAAAAAAATGAAAGGTGTCAGAGAGAGGAAATAAAACGTCAAAGGACAGGAAATAAGTGGTCAGATGTTACCTGGGTATGCTACAAGCTGGCAAGTGTATGTGGTCACATCTGGTCATCACAAAATGGAATTTGCTGCAAGGCTGGGAAAACTTGTTTTAACTACTAGTGTATCATAGTGCACTAGATTCAGCTGCCAAGATGACTAAACTCTTACTATTAATCTTCTTGGACATTCAGTTTTTAATCTAAAGCACTGCTCAAATAGATTGTTGCTCAGGAAATTCAGTTTATTCCCAGCAAACGCTGGTAAGTGATGTGAAGGAGGAGTCTGCATGCTGCCTTAGGGACACTGGCACTGAGTGACAGGAAAATGCAGTTTTGTGTAAGACATGACAGAATTCTTGTTTGACTCTTCTGAAGAGTTGTCAGCTAATTTGTTACCAGAAGATAAAGGCTTCTTTCATGGGTTGAGAGGACATAAGTAGGTGAAAGGTTCCTTCTAGATTGTTGTTTCTTGCTTCCCTTCCCTAACCCCTAGCCTTTGAAGATGTTTAGTTAGGGAAGGGCTCCTTAGCTTAGAACTGAAATTTCGTTTTACTCAGATCCATCTCTCAAATGAGTTTCTGCATGCTGCAAAATGTTATGGCTTAAATGTAGCACCTGATACTATGCTGTGAATTTGAAAATTCACTTTTGTATTCCTACTTGGGTGACACACTTCCCTCCCTGCCCCTCAGCCACTGCCAAAGTCCAAAAAAACACCAAGCAAAGGTGGCAAAAAAGAACGGAGTAGCAGTGGGACTACAAGAAAAGCAAAACGCACCAAGTGCCCAGAGATCTTGTCAGATGAGTCCAGTAGTGAAGAAGATGAAAAGAAGGGAAAGGATGACTCTTCAGAAGAGAAAGAAAGTGAAGATGAGGTAATAAGGTTTTTTGTTTGTTTTGGCTAAAAGTTTTTCTCCAGTTTGATAACGTGTGTTTGTTAGTGATTGGTAATTCTTAGGGCACAGAGAGTTGGGGGGTAAGTGGTGTTTATCTGGAGAAAGGGTTTGAAAGAAAAGGGAATGCATCTGCAGTTTATGAGACACTTTCATAATTTTAGTGCTTTAGAGAGCTGATAAAAGGCAAAATTTCTGATTCTTGATATATATATATATGCACATTATAAAACCATTTGCTTTGTCATTTTGAGGCAGCCAGGATCTCCCAGTATCTGTCTACCTTTTTTCCTGTGTAGGGTTTGATTGGATAGCTAGCCCTTAGCTTTGAATTCAGTAGAGGTCCCTCACCTACCTGGCTGCATTGGTTTTGCATCCTGGTTCTGTATTTGCCCTGGGTTTTATGTCCTTACCTCTCTCTTAGGGTTCTGTGTCTTGGATCACAAAGATAAAGTGAACAACATTGTAAGCAGCCTTACCAAGATCCCTGCAATCTCCAAAGTGATCTCATCTCACTGTGTTTTCTGTTCTCTTGACTTCTTGAAGCTGCTTTTAGCCTTGCATAATAGGAGAGAAATGGGATTAAATTTGTATTTAAGTGGAAAATACCTTTCCCTGTGCGTTCCCTTTCAGCTCTGTACTTTTTTACAGAATAGACACAAAACGTGGAGGGCCAGTACAAGTGTACAGCTGAGTTTGTGTACAAAGTGTACACTGATTCGTCCAGAGGAATGTAATGAAAAAGATCTACAGGCTCCATCTTATCCTATATTTGGATTTAAGTGGGACTACTTTTTAATGAGAGCCTTGCAACAAACAGCAGTTAGTGGACTGTTGATGTCCAAGGAAATTCTTTATGTAAGCTGTGGGACCTTTGGCTGTAACACAAGACTGTTATTGGGTTACTTTCTGTGTATTGCCCTGGAAGTGTGACAGGCTAAGCAAATGTTACTATTTTCTGTAGCTCAAACTAAGTCTTTTGTTGAAAGGCCAATTTATGTAACATTGACAGGTTTTTTTGTCACTGTTGTTTTGATAGGTGCTGGGTTTAAAAAGATAGTTCAAAGAAATGCTCTTTGCTGTCGTGAAACAAACTTAATTCTTAATTTGCTTTTTTCTTTACCCATAAATGACAAACTGAGAGAGGGCTGAAATACTAAAAGTTAATTTTATAGTTGTTCATCTCCAGCAAAAGAGTTCCTACTGTGAGGAATATCCCTTTCAGAGGCAGGAGTTGCCTTTCAGAAAAATTTTCAAGAACTGTTGTTTAAATATACAAAACCCCCCAGAGAAACAACAAAAAATATCCAACAAACAAAATCAAAATAAATCAAACATTTGTTTCCAATAAACAAATATAAACCATAGAGCAAACCCTTCTTTCAGAAGGCAGGAGTTGGATATGTCAGCCAGGCAATAGCTGAGTAGACTGAAGTCTTTAGAAACTGAGGTTGACTTGCATGGAGTAAATGCTTAACTATTAAAAAAAATACTGGTATGTTAAATTAGTGTGAGTAGCAGGAATTGGGGGAAATAGAAAATGTCTGTATTTGTAGACCTTTAAGATTGCAACACCCTTGCAGATAGTAAAGGTGCCCTGCTGCCCCAGCTCCATAGGAATGTATTAGGCATGGAGTGGCTGGAGACCTCAGAGTTGTGTCTCTCTCTTGATTGAAACTTTCTTTAAATAATACAAATAAAACCCCCAAAATCTTAGTTACCTGGAAGCAAAAGATAACTGAAATATTTTTGTGTGCTGAAGGAGTGTGATTTTTATAAAAAAAATGAAATGTGAGTGCTGGGTTTAACTTCTGACTTTGTAGCTGGTGATGGAGCTTGGGCAGAAACTTGAAAGCTGAAAATTTAGAGCTACAAACATTTATTTAGAAACAGTGCAATCCTTGAGCATATTTTCTGAATTTCAGCAGTTGAAAGTCTTTATCATTTACTTAACACTGCAGAGCAAGTGCAACTGTAATGGAGCAAGCCAACATAAAGAAATATAATACTCATTTAATGAGTTGCACAAGGTAGTAATGGGGAAGGCAATTAAAGGTTAAAGTAATCCAAATTGTTCAGAGGTGATAGTTTGCTCAATTGACTACACTGCTATTTTAAATATAAATTAGAATTATGAATTTAGTTACTACTGTTAATTTGTTTTGTTTCATGATGTTCTTTCTCTGAAGTATGGTTTATTCCTGGTCCATGTTCCATGTTTGTTTCTGTGGGGAAAGGCATCAGCCTTGTCAGAAGTACTGTCTAACAGATTTTGTGTGTTAAGCATGATCTATTTGTGGCAAAATTGCACTGCACTGATCTATATATACTGTAGGTATTCGTGTTCCAAATTTCTTCTGTTGATGTTGACAATGCAATAATTTTTTGGTGTTTACTAGTCACAATAATTGGCCAGATTATGGATTAGCTAACATAGTTCTCAGCTAATGCAAAAAGAATTAGCTGCATATAGTCTTAGAGAACTACAGCAGCTAGAAGTAATGGAATAGGACATACCATGTCCTTTTTCAAGGGAACATTATTATTATTTTATAAGCTATTTATAAGTAACTATGAGTGGAAAGTTGTAGCAAACCAAACTACTAGTATCATCAAAAAGTTGTAGGTGTTTGAGCTTAAGAGTCTGTGTAGAAGCACCATGCGAAATTTAAAGAATGTAGGAATTCTCCTTAGGGACATATTTCACTTATGGTGTAGGGGTAGAGATTGCTAGTGAAGTACAGTAGTTAGATTTGCTGATTTGGTTTGTACTGACAGAAAGGATCCATTTTCATTGGGGAAAAGAGGTATGGATTGTTTGGGTAGAAACCATAGTTTAAATGTGTTTCTCTTCTTTACAGCCCCCTAGAAGAGCATCTAAAAGAGAAAAATCTAGAAAGACAACTTCTAAAACCAAGAAAGCTGTAAAGAGTGCAAACGTCAAGAAGGCAGATAGCAGCACTACTAAAAAAAACCAGAACACCTCTAGAAAAGGTAAATGCTTCACATCTTCCATCGTGCTTTGTCTTGTAGCTCAGCAGGCATTTTGTTGGTGCCTCTGTAGGAATCTTGTAGTTGATCCAGTAATTTATATCCCACTGTGTATATCTTTTGTTTAGCACCTTGAGGTGTTTCTTTTTTTGTTATCATAGATATGGGTTCTCTATGTGTGCTGCTGCTGCCATTGGTTTTCTCACATCACACAATATGCATAGAAGGTCCATACATTGAGTTTTATACCTGGGTAAAGATTGCAGAAGTGCCATGACATGTTAGGGGAAAAACTAAAGTGGAGAGGGTGGTGAGACACTGCCACAGACACTGGCCCAGGGAAGCTGTGGATGCTCCATCTCTGGAGGTGTTCCAGGCCAGGCTGGATGGGGCTTTGCACAACCTGGTCTAGTGGGAGGTGTCCCTGCCTGTGGCAGGGGGGGTGGAACTAGATGGTCTTTAAGGTCCCTTCCAACCCAAACCATTCTCTGGTTCTAAGGAAAGCTTCACCATGAGGGTGGCCACACAGAAACAGGGCCTGCAGCAGTTGTGGAATCCCCCTTGTTGGAGGTGTTCAGAATTCAGTCTGGCAGAGCCCTGAGCAGCCAGCTCCATGTTGTCCCTTTTCGAAGTAGCAGCTTAAACCAGATGATCTCCAGAGGTTGTCTCCCACATTCAATTCTCTGGCATTCTGAGATAGCAGCCACACCTCTTGTCACAGTTCTAGTACCAGTTCTTAACACAGCACTTATCCATTCTGCAGACAGACTTCCCTTCATGCCTGCACTGATGTGTGCATGCTGTAGCACAGCCACCAGTTCAGATTAATCACCCTTCTCATCAGTGTATTGAGAAAAGTCCTGGTTAAACTCGTAGGCTTAGAATTATGTTTTATTTCTTAGCAGAATGAACAGGCTGGTGCTGAACCCCGTGTACCTTCAGATGGGCTGCTGGCAGTACTAATGTGGCTGACTCTGTGTACACTTTGTCATACACATACATAAAAATATTTCATCTTTTGCATATATGCTATGTAATAGATTCATAATTTCTTCTTTACTCCTGCATTTCTGTCTTGTGTGTGTGTTCACAGTACAAAAGTCAGTGTTAAGCAGTCTCTCTGCAAGCTCATTATCTGGATTGTTTGGCACCTGCCCTGAATTTTTGTCTTGTTGGCAGTAGAGTAAATGAGTAGATGTTGGAATTGTTCAGTCTAATTTTTTGGCTGCTGGAGAAGATTGTAGGAGTGTCCTGTGCCTCTTCACTTCTTCATGACTCTCTTTTTTGTCATGGTCTTTCTGATAGCAGGTTCAGTGATATAGGATTGCAAAATTACAAGATCCTAGGGGGCAATGCTGCTGGGGGAAAAAAATCCAAACTCCTTTTTGAAGCAAATAAGTACTTATTTTTTAGGGCTATAATACCTCAATTTAGAATTGTAATGAACCGGTTTTTAGTCAGATTAATCTGCACCATACTGTCTAGAGTACATATTGATTTGTGAACTGATAGTTCATCAGATGATGTAGATTCATAAATAAATGTAGTACTGATAGCTTGTCTTTAAATGGAAGGTCTGGCAAGATGTCTGTTTTGAGAGAACATCTGCATCAGAAAGCAAACAATCTTTTATAACAATCAAAATTATTCTTCTTGTTTAGAAAGCGAGTCTGAAGATAGTTCAGATGATGAACCTTTAATTAAAAAGCTGAAGAAACCACCTACAGATGAAGAACTTAAGGAGACTGTCAAGAACTTGTTGGCTAATGCAAACTTGGAGGAGGTCACAATGAAACAAATTTGCAAGACGGTGAGCAAATACGAGACTCTTCAGGCACTGGGTTGTCTGTGAGCTGACTTCTGGCCTCCTCTCAGAAACACAGGCTTGCCCTCTGGACAGCAGTCCAGAAACCAGGGAGGTTTGCATTGAGGTATTTACTTGCCAGCAGGTGTAACAAGCTTTGATCTTAAGATATGCAACACTGGTACCCAACATTAGACAGATGCCAGGAAGCAGCCGTGTGGCTGGAGAAGGGAAAGGTGGGGAACAGGGTCCAAAACAGGCTGTTACCTTAATGTTTTCTGCAGTCATTTAACTCCCAGGTTTGCTTCCCTGCTACTTTCAAGAAGTTGTCTTGAGAAAATTAAACCAGAGGTTATTATTAGAAAACAGTATGTTTATTTTCTGTACAACCTCTTTGTCATGTTTATAGTAATTTTAGAAGTCTGAAATTTGGTATACTGAAATAAAATATACTGCATCAGTTGTCAGTGTTGGCATCTGCTTTTTGTTTGCTTGGTCCTCTCCCACCTAGTTAATGAAAGAATAGTTGTGCTACAAATGTTGACTCTTCTGTTAGTCACTTGAAAGGATCACCATTTTATTATTACCAAAAAATAAATGTCTTGGGATGTGGTACTTGTTATTTGTTATTCCTCCTCTAATGTAGGAGTGTCTGACTAAAAGAGCATGTAAGACAAAGATTAGAGAATTCTTATTTGCCCAATGTGGCAAGCAAGGCATTCCAATTTGTTCATGTGAAAAATTTATACTACTGGTTTAGTCAGGGACCAAACATAAATATTTAAATACATGTAGTTTTTTATGTGGTCAAAATAAGGAGAAGAAAATAAGCATGTTGCTTTTTGTAATTAACAGAGGGCTTTTTGGATGTTGTAATACAAGAATTACCCCACCCTAGGGCAAAACCCCACAGTTTTTGCCCTAATTTCATTTAACCAACTTCTATTCATACAATACATTGAATGAAAATAACTTAAGGTTTGTTTTGTCTTGTTTTTACTTTTTTTTTTTTAGGTGTATGAAAACTACCCTAGTTATGATTTATCTGACAGGAAAGACTTCATTAAAAAAACAGTCAAAGAGGTAAAGACTTTATCATTTAGAAAACGTTCTGGGTTGGGTGGTGTTTTTCTTTGGTCTATTAAAAAGTGGCATTGGCATCCTGTGACACTGCTTTTAACAGCCTCCTGGATGGTATTGCAAATTTACTGCTCTGATAAACATGAACTCTGGCTCTGGTTTATTTGGTTTTTTATCTCTTTCAAAAATAACTGCTTCAGACTTCGTTTTCTTAGCGTGCCACTACTATTCTTATACATTCCTTTGGTAAGCTCTGGCAGTGGGAGAAGGCAAAAGAGGACAAAGGTAGATGGCTCTGCTCTCTAGGTGTACATTTATTTACTGTGTTGCCTCTGAGCTTGCTGCACTGCAGGTTAGGCCTGATCTCATGTGCTCGTGACAAAGAGTTTATTGTCCAGTTTGTGGTTGGTAATTGGTAAAAAAAAAAAAAAACGCACCAACTTCAGTTACTTTTGCCCCAAAACTGAAAATGGAGCTGGAGAAGTGAGATTCACTTAGTGGAGTTAATAAAGGAACTTTTCTTTCCTGTGCGGCTTCATTTGCAGATGTTGCTCTATGGCTATCTAGAAGTAGCTGTGTCTGTGTTGCACACGTGTGTGACTATCAGCAAAGGTGTGGGAGCAGTTTGTCTGCTCTAGGGGTGTTCTTGGGGTGCTGCTGATAGCAGAGGCAGAGTGGATTTTCTAGATAGTCAGATGCAAAGGAGAGGCTGTATGTCATTGGACTGAGAGAAAGGAGGAAACTAACACACTTCTCTTTTCAGTTGATCTCATGATCTGGTTTGACTCTGGGAAATGAAGATTCCTGGTTTTCTGTTCCCATGGATTTGAAGATCTGATAGGCACCAGCAAAAGGAATGTGTCTTACCTTGTGGTCTTTAGTCAGAGCTGATTCTGCTGATCTAATATTAAGAGTGTTGATGTAAATTGCTTTGTGTATCTCTTTTTTTAAAGAAAACAAAACTGCATTTGATGCAGTTTTTAGTTGAACATAGTTAAGTTTCATGCATGGCAATAAATGTTCCATTTTTTTATAGTTTTTGTACATTTTGAATTGCTTTGTATAACTAGATTCATTAGAACCATGGTAGCTTTTTAGTGTGGAGGACTAGCTTGCAGGGGATTTTAAAATCAAGTAAGATGAAAGCTGCTTATCTGCACGTATACATGCAGAGACTGGAATATTGCAGTATTGGTTATAAAGATATTTTGAATACATATCCATTCTGAAAGCAAACAAGTTAGTCACATGTTAATGTCTTTTATATTCTGATATATTCTACAGATGCAGAATTACTCCAAATCTAGATTGTCTTGCATGTGTAGGAACTGAGAGAACTGTCAAAGCATGGTAACTAATTGGCATATAGATGTTATTTTTGTACTTCTTTTAAAAGGCTTTCTTTTGTGTATATAAAGTTACTTCAGATTTCTTTTGTGCAAATCATTTTTTTAATCTTGTTCTCTTTGAATTTATGACATGAAATGTCAGAGTTCAGCAGTGAGGCTGTGGCCAAAAGTGGTATGCAGACATTTCATGAAACTACCAATGAGCTGAGGTTTTATGATGTTGGGCCCATCTTACCTTGTACAGAAACTAAACTGTAGTTTTATACTTGAGCTTTTCAGTGTTTAACTTTGTCCAGGACTACAGATACGTTGGTTGCAATGCTTTGATACAGTGAATGAATTCCCTCCAAAGGTCATAGGAAAACTTCTAACGTTCACTTTGCAAAAAATCTTGAGTGTCTTGGCTTGAAGGCCTCGTGTCCCAGGAGCAAGTACCCAAGGTGTACAGCTGGGAGGCTCAGTGGTAGCTTTGGAAATCCACAGTGGGGCTTCCAAATCAGATGGCACTGATGTGTGTGGTTAAGCTCTTCTGTATGGGAGAGTTCTTCTGAACCTGGGCCTTGGTGCCTCAGCATGGACAATGATACTTCTAAATCTGCAGTCTTGAACTTTGGTCCACGACTTTTCAGGTCAAAGTGAACTCTTTCCATACATTTTTGTTGTTTCGTTTTCTGTTCTCTGTACACCTTGTTGCTGCCATGGGAAGTCCTACACTTAAAATCATGAAACTAAGAGTTGCCAAAGTGTGGGCTGCCATTAACACCCTGAGCACAGAATCCCTCTGACTGTAGTGTTGGTGGAAAGACAAAGCATATTTTTTTGAATTTTATTATTGTACAGTTGAGAAGGAAGGGTTCATAAATGATCTAAATTCTGAAAATGTTCAGCCACTTAGACTATTACTCTTCACACACTTTTGGAATTTCTTTGCGTGTAATCATTTATAATAAGGCTGAATGTAATGGGGGGGTTTTGTATTCAATAAATGTCTTTCACAAAACTGTAAATCCATTTTGATGATTTATCATTTGCTTAAATGTATAGTAAAAAAAAAAATCCATACAGAAACAAGGTTGTTGTCTTTATCTCACTTGGTAGAAACTATTCAAGCCTGATTCAGTAGGCTTCTCTGCTTCAAAGATACCATTGCTGAAATGTATGTATGGCCTTGCACCAGGATGAGATTTGCACCTGTCTGAGCAGGTCTACCAGAGGAAGGTCATAAAGATGAGCAGGGGGCTGGGGCACCTCCCTGGTGAGAACAGGCTGAGCGAGTTGGGGTTCCTCATCCTGGAGAAGAGAAGGAGCTGGGGAGACCTTACAGTGGCCATCCAGGACTTAAGGGGGGCCTACAGGAGAAATGGGGAGGGACTCTGTTGGGGAGTGTAGTGACAGGATGAGGGCTAACAGTTTTAAACTGAAAGAGGATAGATTTAGATGAGATATTAGGAAGAAATTCTTTATTGTGAGGGTGGTGAGACACTGGCACAGGTTGCCCAGAGCAGTGGATGCCCCATCCCTGAAAAGTTCATGCTGGATGGGGCTTTGAGCACCCTGGTGTAGTGGAAGGTGTTCCTGCCCATGGCAAGGAGGTTGATGATCTCTAAGGTCTATTACAACCCAAACCACTCTGGTTTTATATCTTCTGTGAGGTTGGTTTGCTATTTATTGGGGGGGGCTTGGGTGTGGTTTTTTGGTTTGTTTTTTTTTCCCTCAGCTATCTTAGCACAAAGAACACTTTAATTAGCAGTTAAAAACATCAAAATTTTCTGAAGTCTGCTTGAAAGCAGAAAGTTACTTCTGTCAAGTTTTGTTTGGGTTTTGGATGGATTTTCTACAAATACTTGAACTGCCTGGTGATATTTCTGTAAAGATTCCAGTTGGTTTCAATTATGTGTTTCAGGAAGTGTTTTCAAGACGAATGACTCCCAAGCATAAACATTTTTTATAGTGTAAATTCTAAGGAGAACTTACTAAGGGATAGCATAGTTCTGTGTGCTCTATGTACGTGTTCCTTGTCACTTTGGAGTTGCACAGATGGAGTGGAAGTGAACTCTGCATCCTTCAAACGCTTTGTTTAAAGCTCTTAACTGCAACCCGGTGTAGTGCTCAACAGGGAAGAGTTGTCTGAGCTGTTTCCCTGCTAATCCTTACTAGTCTGGCTGCAGCTGATAGAGGATTCCAGTTCTTTCTACAACTGGGTGAAAGACTGAAAGACAATACTAAAAGGTCAATAAAATGTCCTGCTTATCCTCATGCTGTTGGAATAAAACCCCAGCTGATCAGGGCTCTAAATCCTGTACAGAGATGCTCATAAGCACCAGAAACTGGCTGACTGGATAAAAGGTGACTGAGTGAAGCATTCAGGTGTATACCTTTGAGGTGCTTAATATTATTTCCTGACCATTGTATTCTAAGAAAGAAGTCCTAACATCTTGATTTGGTAGCTTGCAGTGTAATTCCTACAGTCCAGTGTTGGCTCCTCTGCCTAGTTAAGTTTTTGGTATTCAGGCTTTTGGTCAGTGACCTGCAAACCCACCCAAATGAAGCTGAATGACTGGCTTCTAGAAACCAACTTCCTAGGAGTGAGCTGGGCACCTGGGGGGACAGTGTAGGGGAAGGAGGATGCAGAGGGCTAGGTGGGGAAAGGGAGGAGGCTGCGTGTCTAGGGAAGTCAGAGTTCATGGTAACTCATGGTACACTGCTCAGGTACATCTGAGGCAAAATTAGGAAGACACAACAAACTTCTAAGTGCCATCCCACTTTTCCCCCGAAGCTCTAGACTAACAGGCTCCTTGGACCCCATCAGGCTGCTTACAGCATCAGTATTCTGCATTATCCTGTGACAAGGGGCACGACAAAGTGAGATGTGTGACTGTCTGGGTTTAGATTAGCCACTGTTAAGCTGGACTTAACAATAACCCTTTTGGAGGCAGTGCTTAGTGTGGCCAAGTAACACCCCTGGCAGTCAGCACAATGGTTCCAGTAGGGCTTATTCACTCTCCTGCTGTGTCAGAGAGGGGGTGGCTCATGACCACTTGGGTAGGTCTAATTATTCCTGTTTCCAAATCAGAAAGTTGGCTATAATCAAGTAGTTTCAATTAAGCTAGGTAAAATCATTCCTGAAATGACTTCTGGTGGTTGGTGTTGTTAACTTAGTTCCCATTATTTAGGTGGAACCGTGGAAAAGGCACCAGAATAACTTACCTGAAAAGATGTAGTAAGAAATTCAGTAAAATCAACGTTTCACTTGCTGAAAGAGGTTAAAAGAGGCATCTTGACTGCTGACAAGGGTCACTTTTCCTTCTGCAAAGAAATGTCTCTCCTGCCTTTGAATTATTGGAATGGAAATAAATGTGGCAATACTCATTAAAGCAGGTAGCTGGAAGTTGCAGGTCTAAAAGTTTATTCAGATGGGACCTTGAGTTGCAGGAAAAACAGGTTGACAGGAACCTCATGAAGGTCAACAACAGTAAATGCAGCACCTTGCCTCTGGGAGAGTATAACCCCAGAGAGCAGGGTGGGTGGGGACAGCCGGCTTCCTTCTAAGCAGCTTTCCAGAAAAGGGCCTGGGTAGGGGCAGGTGGTTCTCAGAGACAAGGAGCTGACCCCAGCTCAGTGGGGAGCCCTTGTGATAAGGAGTCCTGGGCTGTGCCAGCAGGCTGAGGGGAGGGACTGTCACCCCCAGTCAGCTCTGGGAGCCTGCCTTGGGGGGCCGTGTCCAGCTTTGGGCTCCCTGCTGCAAGGCAGGTGAGGACATCCTGGAGGGAGTCCCGTGGGAGGTCACACGGATGGAGGGGGGGCTGGAGCACAGGATGCAGGAGAGGACACAGAGCCGGGCTTGTTCAGCCTTTAGAGGAGATGGATAAGGTGGGGGGGGAGAGTCCCAGTGCAGTCTGCAACTACCAAATGGGAGAGGATGGGGAAGGCAGGGCCAGGCTCAGCCTGGAGGGGCACGGGCAGAGGATGGGAGGCAACAGGCACAAGCTGCCACCAAAGGAACTGTGATGACCTCTTAGGGGAAGAAAAGCTTCACCATGAGGATGGTCACACAGAAACAGGGCCTGGAGCAGTTGTAGAATCCCTCTTGTTGGAGGTGTTCAGAATTCAGCCTGGCAGGGCCCTGAGCAGCCAGCTCCATGGTGGCACTGGTCCAAGTCACAGCTTAAACCAGCTGATCTCCAGAGGTCCTGGGGATAAGTGGATGTCAATATTACATAACTTGCCATTTCTCTGCCACCTGACCTTGTTCACTGCACTCAGTTGTAGAGTCATCACTCTTATTTCTGATTTAAGTTTTAGACAGCTGAGCCAGAAGGAAAAAAAATGCCCTTCCACCAGCTATGTTCCTGAAGGACTATCATCCTTGGGGGGAGTGTGATGAAACCTGCGGGCTTGTACTTCATTTTAAAAGCAGCATTGGTATTTTGCTTGCATTTTAAAGACTGTTACTCTTAGAATGAAGTTAACATTTTTCAAGACCAGTGTCAGGTGCACAAAACAAATATCCTGCTGGGAGGTAGTGTTAGAACAAAGTACATCCTTGGGATACCCACTGGGAACTGCTACTCCAGCAGGACAGGGCTAGGGAAAAACAGGGAATCTTCCACACAGTAGTACTGTCAGTGGTTCAGACCTACATCTGTTACTGTTGAAATAAACTTTTAAAGGGAGGAGGAATTTTTTATCTTAAATTTACTCTAGCTAAGGAAAATAATCTGAAACAAGCTTATTAATTACTTTGTAAACCTCTGAGGCAAAAAATGCTATTATGATATTGTCCAAATCACAGCAAAGTTAGTACTTTGAGCTCGGAGAAGGCTGCAGAGCAGCACTTCTGAGGAACTGTCCTGCAGCAAAACTTTTAAAGGGAGGAGGAAT